AATGGAAGTGGTTATGAGGTTTGAAGACAGTATGAAACGTATATGAATGTTCTAATTTTTTACGTACTCCCTGATGTATGGTAAATGTATTTCAGGCGTGCAGTCTACTAGTACTATGAACGTTATGACTCAATAAGACACGCGATATGGTTGGGTCAATGTAACGTTGCTGGTTCAAGTTATTGCGCTTGGGTGTCTGCATTAGAACAGTAAATCACTGGGTCGAGTTTGAATTCCTGCCGATTGATTTTTGGTTTTAGTAATGGTCTTTATTGTGTTGGGGTTTTTTAAAAATCTAATGATGATATATTATGAGAAAAATATTTTTGTATTTCATGTACGTATGAATTTAGGATTCTACTTGTTCATCGCAGACTAGGATAGATATTGAAGACAGAAATAACGTCATGATCGTAATCTTAATTACTGGGAGTGACAATGTTTCTCTTTTTTAAAATTACATAGGTAATGTTTGTGAACCGTGGGGCGAGTATAACAAAGTGAAGTCAGAGGGCTCGTGGCTCGTAAATATCAGGTGAAATTAGTACCCTGGACGCCGCTACCGGCGCGAGGAGCGTAATTACAACTCGTTTTGTTGGACACACCACTGTCCAGGTTAGCATCTCGCTGCTACCCGCGCGAGAAGCGTAATTACAAACTGGACGCCACCACCCAGGGCGGCATCCCTTAGGACAGGGAACATTAGAGTGAGGCGCATTTATAACACGTAGCTGCCCCAAAATCAGTTAAGTCCGTGATTTGTAAGATCACGAAGAACGACATTGAGAAGCGTCTCTTACACGTTAATTGTAAACGCATGAAGAGTGCACAAAGATTTGGCGCGTTCAAAGCCCATACGTTCTTGGGAACTGGGGAAAGAAGATACAACCATCCAGAAGGTAACTATTGAAGTCTGAATGATCAAAGCGGGATCATTACTACGCTAGGGCCTTATATACCGAGGATCCGAAGGTAGAGAGGAGATCAGATTTAGGACAGACTAGCGTAGACTAGACGAGACCAGACTAGAGTACTGAGAGGACATAGAGGTAGGAGCTAGACCAGGTTATGCGAAGGGTAGTGACAATATTCTTGTACACTGCTAGATAGTCGCCTGTTCGACAAATGTTATAACTAGTGTTTCAGGAAATAGTAGTTACCCTTCTGTAGATTATAGGTCCTCGAAGCTAGTAGCATGTTTAGTAAACGTCATACATTTCATTGTTGTTGATGATTAAATATTTCAAATATTACAGCGTGAAGTTTTCTTGTCCTCTTTGACATAGCCTATACGATCACGTGTCAGAGTGGTGTAAACAGTACAACAACACATTTTTATACTGTTACATCTCTCTCTCTCTCTCTCTCTCTCTCTCTCTCTCTCTCTCTCTCTCTCTCTCTCTCTCTCTCTCTCTCTCTCTCTCTCTCCAGATACCTTGTGAATAGACCACACCTTTACAGGGAGCTACCCTGGTTTACAGGCCATAAACAAAAATCATTATAACAATAAACTAGCATTTATTCAGTTCACATATTTTAGAATTGCTGGCAAATCGTCTGCACGTCTACCCTCATCTACAGATAGGCGAAATACGACTTGGTCTCGGAACAAGTTGGCTCCAGCAGCGGCGACGCGCGCGGATGTTTGGGAGAACTTCCTTGAGACGCCCGCTGTTCTCTCCTATAACATGACGGAATGTAGGACGACGTGTCGCGTCCACTCCCTGAATCCTCTCCACGGCGTGACAGTAATCTTGATTTTGGGCTGCGTTCTTCGCCTGGGTTCGAGTCTAAGCTGCGGCTATAAGTAGCAGGGCTTCTTCTGAGAACGTGAGGACTGTTTCTGCAAGCAGGTCCGCCAAAGACAGACTTTGCTGTGTCTGACTGGCGCCCAAGACACTGTTGTGTTAGAGGTACAGAACGGGACCTCATTGCTTCGGACGCCACCAGAAAAGTGGTTACGTTCAGGGGATCACGCAGGGGGGAAATGTCGCTGACGACTTCATTTCCTCCCCGACGTTTGTTATCAACTCCACTCCGTTGGAAAGTCTCATGTTCCTTGCTTTCCAGGTCACAATGTTGTGAAGACCGGCCTTGTTTACCATCTACTGTGACATTTTTATACGGAGAAGTCTGAAGACTAAGAGAGTTATCTCTCTCTATAGCACGCATTTCAGGAATGTTCGATGCTGTTTCGGGATATGTTAAGGCACGAGGAAGATGAGGCTTTGTACGCTGGGTCTGTCGGTGGGGAGTTAGGCTGTCGTTGTTTTCTTTTACCTCACTGTCCAGTGTGTGTCTGTGGCTACCCTTCCTCAGTTCTGTCAGCGACCTGACATTGTTGGCGTTTGTGTTGATAGTCGGCTCCTGTTTCCACAGAGCTGAATCCTGCCTGTAAAGACTTTGTGACTCGAGACGTCTATTTACAGACCAAGGGGGTTTCTTGTGGATTACCTCAAGGCTAACAGCCTCAGATGAATCTGTGGTTGTGTTTGCTTCT